TTCTTCTGGCTAATGTTCAATCCATTGAAAATAAGCTAGATGAACTCAGAAGCCGGATTGCTTTTCAACGGGACATTAAGAACTGTAACGTGTTAATTCTCACTGAGACTTGGCTCAACCCCGCTATCCCGGACTCCGCTATTGTCCCTGACGGATTCTCTATTTTTCGTCAGGACCGGACTGCAAACTCGGGGAAAAGTAAGGGAGGCGGTGTGTGTGTAATGACTAACAACAACTGGTGCTCAGATGTGAAGATTATTTCATCGGACTGTTCCGCACAGCTAGAGCACCTCATGATCTCATGTCGGGCCTTCCATCTGCCGAGGGGATTCACATCTGTTGTGATAACAGCAGTGTATATCCCGCCGCAGCCACTCGCCGACAACAACACGGCACTCGATCAGCTGTTTGGGTTTATTGATAAAACCGAGACTTCACGGCCAGATGCGGCGTTCGTTGTGGCCGGAGATTTCAACACCGCCAACATGAAGAAGGTTTTTGCCAAAATATTACCAACACATCAACTTCCCGACGCGCGGGGGAAACATACTGGACCATGTTTATTCCCCTTTCCGGAATGGATATAAGGCTCTCCCTCGCCCTCCCTTCGGCAAATCAGACCATATCTCACTACTGTTGTTGCCTGCTTACAAGCAGAAACTTAAAAGGGACAGACCGATAACAAGGACAGTACAACGATGGAGCGAGGAGTCAGATTCAGCACTGCAGGATTGCTTTGCATCCACGGATTGGAGTGTGTTTGAGGACAATAACATCAACACACACACGGACACTGTCATCTGCTACATTGGGAAATGCATCGATGACGTGGTACCGAAGGTTTCTGTACGGACATTCCCAAATCAAAAGCCCTGGGTAAACGGTGAGGTGCGCGGCAAACTGAAAGCGCGCACTCTCGCGCACACAGCGGGAGATTTGGAGGAGTACAGGAAGTCTAGGTATGATCTCCGGAGAGCAATAAAAAATGCAAAGAGACAGTACAAAGAGAAGGTGGAATCTGACTTCAAAGGCTGTAACACTAGGAATATGTGGGCGGGACTAAGGACAATGACTGACTACAAAGGAGCAGCGGGGGGTGCTGCGGGAGTGTCTGCGTGCGCATCTCTCCCAGATGAGCTAAACAGTTTTTTTGCACGCTTTGAGAGCAGCCAGGCTGTGGAGGTACAGAGGGACCAGGAGCTACACTGCCCTTTTGTTTTAAATAGGGCAGATGTGTGTAAATCCTTTAAAAGGGTTAACCCACACAAGGCTCCTGGACCTGATGGCATCCCTGGCCGTGTTCTCAGGGTGTGTGCAGTTCAGCTGGCAGAGGTGTTCACAGACATCTTCAACAGGTCCCTGCTGCAGTCTGTAGTCCCCACATGTCTTAAACACTCCACCATCATTCCTGTCCCCAAAAAGACAATCATCACCTGCCCCAACGACTACCGCCCAGTAGCACTCACCTCCATCATAATGAAGTGCTTTGAGCGGTTAGTCAAATTATTCATCACCTCCTCCCTCCCTGAATCTCTGGACCCCCTGCAGTTTGCCTACAGAGCAAACAGGTCCACAGACGACGCCATAGCCCTCACCCTCCACACTGCCCTCTCACACCTGGACCCGAAGAACAGGAACACATATGTGAGAATGCTGTTCATTGACTACAGTTCAGCATTCAACACCATTGTGCCCTCCAAGCTGGCCATCAAGCTCAGAGACCTCGGGCTCAACAGCGCCCTCTGCGACTGGATCCTGAACTTCCTGACGGGCAGACCCCAGGCAGTGCGGGTGGGAAACATCACATCCTCCACCCTGATTCTTAACACCGGTGCCCCTCAAGGCTGCGTGCTCAGCCCTCTCCTCTACTCCCTGTTCACCCACGACTGCGTGGCCACACACAGCTCCAACACCATCGTGAAGTTTGCTGATGACACGACCGTCATCGGCCAGATCACAGACGATGACGAGACGGCGTACAGAGAGGAGGTCGAAAATCTGACATCTTGGTGCCAGGAGAACAACCTCCATCTCAACATCAGCAAAACAAAGGAGCTGATTGTGGATTACAGGAAGCAGCAGGGAGAGGGACACGCCCCCATCGCCATCAATGGGACTACGGTGGAGAGAGTCAAAAGCTTCAGGTTCCTTGGGGTCCACATCACTGAGGACCTGACATGGTCTCTTCACACCACCACCATCACCAAGAAAGCTCGACAGCGGCTCTTCTTCCTCCGCAGGCTGAGGAGGTTCAAAATGGATTCCAGGATACTCTGCAACTTCTACAGGTGCACGATAGAGAGTATCCTGACTGGCAGCATGACGGCCTGGTACGGCAGCTGCACCGACCTCGATCGTAAGGCTTTACAGAGGGTGGTGAAAACTGCACAGCACATCACCAGGACGGAGCTGCCATCCATGGAGGACCTTTACTCCCAGCGGCTCAGGAAGAAATCACTACGGATTATCAAAGACCCCCATCACCCCAGCCACAAACTGTTCTTTCTGTTGCCGTCTGGCAGACGTTACCGCAGCATCCGGGCAAGGACAAGAAGATTCGGAGACAGTTTCTTCCCGCGGGCAGTGAGACTGTTAACAAATTGAACTGTTGAAACAACTTCAAACATTCAACTGCTACTCAGTAGTATGTATCTAATACCTAATATATATATATCATTCCAATAACTTGTATATAGACTCATACTGCACTATTCCACATCATAACTTTATTTCATTTTTATAACTATTATTATTTTTGTATTGCTCTTGCTCTTATTGTTATTATGTTATGTCATTATGTTGCATTGTTGGAGAAGCCTGTGACATAAGATTTTCAACTGCATAATTACTCTGTAGCTATGTCAGATTGACAATAAAGAACCTTGAACCTTGAACCTTGAACCCTATTTATTTATTTCAAATGTGACATTTTACCAATGTGCTCACGGACCACTAGGGGGCGCTCACGGACCACACTTTGAGAAGCACTGTGTTGATAATATGATGAGAAATGGATGAATCTTGTCTTCTCTCATCTCTTCCTCCCAGGATCGTCAGAAGTGAACAGAAGACGACCGCCGATGAAATCTAGATTTAAAAAAATGAAACACAAGGACATCAAAAATCGATTTAAAACTAATATTTTATTTTCTATGTAACTCCGTGGACACGCTCCGGTCTCAGATGCAGGGATGAAGCTCCAATCATATATTTCTTTTTTCCAGCCTTACAGATCTCTTCGGCTCCCCACCATGCATCGTCACCTAAATATAAAGAATAAGAAATATGTGCACGTGTGTTTCTGAACTCTCTCTACGACATGCTGCTGATTCTCACGTTGTGCTTCGTGTGTTGGACAAATGTGAAGTGCTTGTGTCGGAGTGAGCAGGACTTTATTGACAAATGTCTGCTATCTGTTTGTTGTGTTTTATATTATCAGAAAAAAGTCTATTAACATGTGAGGGGTGTTTTATTTTGGCGGGTTGATGTGTACACTGACGGTACGTCCACACGGCAGCGTCGCGTGCTTCAACGGAGACGCTTCCCCTTCACTTTGAATGGGGTGACGTGACGCTTTGCCGAACTGCATTGTGGTTCCCTCGCGTCGCTTTGCCTCCTCCGCTGCTCGCTTCGAAAATTGAGAAAAGTTCAACTATTCAAGCGCCAGCCAATCAAATCATATGCCAGCACAAGCTCTAGCCAATCAAACCGCGTGCTTGTGTGTCCGGGGCGGGAGATTAATGTGATTGGTTGTTGGTCGCACGGCAGACACGCCCACCGACAAGCTTCAACGCGACGCTGCCGTGTGGACGTGCCGTGAAGTGTGCAAAGGGTGTGGCGTTAGAAAGCGTAAATGTTAGGTAAATATTTTTGAGTTATGCATCACCTGGCTTATTAAACTAATCCTCCTCCTGCTCTTCCTCCTCCTCCTCCTCCTCTTCCTCCCCCTCCTCCTCCTCCTCTCCCTCCTGAATGAAATATGTGTCGTATCAGAGGTCACTCTCACATCCTTAGATTTGATCATGTTCATTATTAAAGTTATGCTTCTCTGTTCTCTGTGGGCTTCATTCATGTTCACATGTATACCTTATTCTCTGTCTTTATTCTTTCTTAAACTTCTTGACTTTATTCCTCGAAAAATTATAATTAAAGAAAAATCTAAATCGTCTCCCAATTTCTTTTCGGAGCAAGTCCATTTAAAAAATATAAATTAAAATATATAGAACATTATAAAATGATTGACAGCTTGTACAACAGACTCAATTTAAGTACAACAATAATAACTCCTGTCTCAGTTTGAAATCTCTCTCTGGCTTTAGTTTTACAAAATGTGCAAAGGGACCAACTTCAAATGAATGCCTAAGAGTTTGGAATGGGATGTCCTGAAAGCTCCTGGAGGTGTAATCAGAATCAGAATCAGAATCAGAATCAGAATCAGAATCAGAATCAGAATTCCTTTATTAGTCCCACAGAGGATACATGTACATTGTTACAGCAGAAAGAGCCAGAGACAGCTTCATGTTTCCTAAAGCATGCATACAACAAAGTATTAAAGATTTAAAAAGAAAGAAATGATAATAGGTGTTCTAGTCTGTGTTGTTGTGTGGGGGGTCTACTAGGGGTCGTGGTGGTTATATAGTCTGACCGCTGCAGGAAGGAAGGACCTGCGGTATCTCTCTAATGTGTAGGTGGTCCAATACTTTTGTCTATATTGTGTATAATTGAGTATCATCCGCATAACAATGAAAATGTCCCGAGTGATTCCTTATTGCCTAAAGGAAGCGTATATAATGTGAACACAATAGGTCCAAGCTCTGAGCCCTTATGCTTTGCTGTGGCAGAACTGGCTGGATCAAATCAAACAGAACTCTAAACACATTTTCAGCTCTGCACACAATCTGCAATTCAACTCTGCACTTTCTAAAACACTGCACACGGTTCTCTGAGTAACACACAGAGATCTGACATATTCACCTGTCAGCCATTTTCAACACACTGCCATTAAACATGCTACACATATGAGCCAATGAACAGATACACATGCCAGCTGACCGTTAACGCCTGGCTGCTTTACTGCTGACTCATCAAGCAGGATATAAGTACAAACAACAATATCCTGTTTATGAAATACACAAGAAAAGAAAGAAGATTGAAGTCGTTAGTTCATGAGAAAAGCACTCAGATAGAAAGTCAGAAACATTTGATTAAAAGAAATGTAAATAAAATGTCCAAAGAAAGTATTCAGAGTAATTCTTATTACAGTTTTATAACTGTTTTATATATTCCTCAAATGATCTGCTTTGACTGCAGCTTGAGAAACTTCTGGATTCAGTCTGAAAGCATCCTTTTTTAACTTTAAACATGATCTTTAATAATGTTGTAGTTTAGTTTAACTCTGAGAGGTGGACTGGCTGGACTCCTCACTGGGACTCTGGTTCTGGACCAGCTTGCAGGGTCCAGGAGTTCTTGGAGAGAAGGAGCGCTTCCTGCCGCAGGACTCGGGGGATGGGAGTTCCTGAACATGGAGAAACAGCTTCAGTTATTATGCTCCAAATATCTGGAACAAAGTCACAGAAAGAATGTGTCTGCAGCTCAGAGAGTCCTGCTGGGAACCCACACATGTTGAGGAGCCCAAAGTGTGATGAGAGAAATGTACAGTACGGGTCCCCAGCACATAGAAGCTGCCGGATGCTAACCTGCATATGTTGGGAGAGCTTTACAGACCAGGAGAGGAACTAAGTACATTTACTCAAGGACTGTACTTTAGTACAATGTTGAGGTACTTGTACTTTACCAGAGTATTTCCCTTTGATGCTACTTTGTACTTCTACTCCACTACAGTTCAGAGGTACATGGTGTACTTCTACTCCACTACATGTATGTAATACCTTTAGTTACTTCACAGATGTGGATGAATGATGTGAAATATAATCAAGTGTTAAATCAGACTTTAGTTCCACCTGGAGTAAATCCACAAGCTACCCTGCAGTATACAAAGTCATTCAAACTAGCTGCACCTTTACCAGCTTTGAGAACACTTTCATGATCAATCATTATAAAACATATCATATATATTATTCTGAAATGGACCAATCTGCACAATGACTACTTTTACTGTCGCTACTTTAACTATATTTTGATGATAATACTTTTATACTTTCACTTGAGGAACATTTTGAATGCAAGACTTTTACTGTAACAGAGTATTCCTACACTCTGGTACTTCTACTTTTACTCAAGTACAAGATCTGAGTACTTCTACTTTTACTCAAGTACAAGATCTGAGTACTTCTACTTTTACTCAAGTACAAGATCTGAGTACTTCTACTTTTACTCAAGTACAATATCTGAGTACTTCTACTTTTACTCAAGTACAAGACCTGAGTACTTCTACTTTTACTGAAGTATATTTTGATGATAATACTGTAACTGGTTATAATGTTGATGTTTTCATGTGTTTTATTCTTCAGAGTTTATTTACATTTTACAGAGTGTCAGTGAACGCGTCACTGTTTTGATAGACAGTTGTTGTGAAGAGAAACAGCCAAAATGATGAAGAGAGAGAAACAAGAGTGTTGTTTCCTCTGAGGACATGCTCCATGAAAGAGTTTCATATCTGGATGAATGGAGGATATTCAGTACTCACAGTTCTTCTGGATCTTGGCTCTGATCGTCTCATCCTCTCTGATCCTGTAGGGATGAACACAATCCAACAGTTATGGATCCAGTTTAAAATAAGTGTTTGTTCTTTGAGTCAGCTTCAGAGTCCTGACTGATCTCATGCTTTACATCCCATCATATCTTCTCTGCAAACACTACGACTGACTGCCACAGCTCTCAGCTGCATTACAGGAAGTAACAGTCATTAGTCAAGGAGCTCAAAACATCCCATCAAAAACAGACTACCTTTTCCACTCTTCTGTCAAATCCCATATGTCTGGTGGAAAGTTGATTACTTACTAAATGTGGCTTTGCATTTTCAGCTGGCCTTCTATAGTTGATGGAAGAATGAAAGAGCCTGCAGTCAGTGGGTAACATCACTGATCTGTTGTGATTCCCCAGTGAGAGAAACACCTCCCTGTGTTTCATACAATACTGCTGAACCAGCAGAGACCCCTTACTGACCTGAGGGTCTCCAGTCTGCAGTCTGGACTCTCCAGAAGATCTCTCAGCAGCTCCTCTCCTGAATCCTGCAGATCGTTGCCTCTCAGGTCCAGATCTCTCAGATGGATGTTGGACTTCAGAGCTGAGGCCAGAGCAGAACAGCTGATCTCTGACAACCAGCAGCGCCTCAGTCTGAATAAAGAAAACATGATGTAAGTTTAGAAAACAATGTTCCTGTTTGAAATAACTCCAGGTTTAATAATCTGTTCAGAGTGAAACAGGGTTTTAATGTCAGAGATGATGCAGAAACAATCCACTGATAATCTGGAACTTTAACTTTGATCAGATGTTGAACAAGTCCTTCATCTCCCTCACAGCTCATCAGTACTGACAGCATCTCCACTGACTCATGGAGCACAGAGTGAGTCTGTGGAAGCTCAAACACTCTCCCTCACACATTCACCTTCTCTTTGTTACTCTGATCAATATTCAGTCATTAGCAAAAACAGAACAAATAAAAATAACATTGTATTTGTTCAAATTCAGAAAATCATAAACACAAACAGATCAATATGAACTGCAGTCAGTGAACTGACCTGAGAGCCTCCAGTCTGCAGTTTGGACTCTTTAGTCCAGAACTCAGCAGCTTCACTCCTGAATCATACAGAGCGATGTCACTCAGGTCCAGATCTCTCAGATGAGAGGGGTCAGACTTCAGAGCTGAGGCCACGACTTCACAGTGACTCTCTGAGAGTCCAGAGCCACTAAGTCTATAATAAAACATATATTACAACATGTGTTAAAAAGAGGAAACATTATATTAACATCAAGCATTTGATGAAAAAGATTTGACATGTTCTGATAGACATTTGCTGTTAGTCCATTTAATATAATATATAATAATATATGATAATAGAGTGTAATGAGTTGTCAGTGTGATCTGATCACATGTCTGTGCTCCTGCTGTCACTGACTGTTACCAAAAGAAACAGAAATTAAATGAATCACTTGACAATATTAGAGATGTACATATTTAAATGTTAGTTAATATGTGGATGTGAATGATGGATGAAGGATGTTTTGGCTTCTCTGAGCATCTGAACATTTATTGCACACACAAACACAATTAACAAACCAATAAAGTTTCAATATGTTCAACTTGATAGCATCAGATGTTCCCAGTATATCAGCATTAAGACATAACTCTGTTATTGGTGGGAAATGATATAGATCTGATTTTAAACTCTAACACATTGAGATAAAAACGTGTTTAATGATAAAGAAACTACTAGAAAGTAATAATAACATGTTTCTGTGATAACTGTAAGTCCTGCTGTGTGGTGTGATCACATGCTGAGAAACCTCTCAAGTCCTTCATGTGTTTGACATGTCGCCTCCATCACTCAATATGAAGAGAGGAACGCTTCAGTTTAACTATTATTATAAATAAATAGAAGAACAGTGTTGGTTTATTTTGCTCTCAGTATTTAAACAGCAGAAATGTTATAGTGTTTATTTGAATAATTAAACTCCTGATCCACATTAGTTTATAAAGTTAATCACATCTGGACTTACTTGAACTTCCTGCAGTTCCTCACAGCTGGAATCAGTCTCAGTTGTCCCTCCGGTGATGTGTTGTACTGATCCAGGTCCAACTCATCCAGAACCTCCTCTGACATCTGCAGCATGTAGGCCAGAGCAGAGCAGTGGATCGCAGAGAGTTCCTTCTCTGATCTGTTCTCTGACTTCAGGAACTCTGTGATCTCCTGATGTACTGAGAGGTCCTTCATCTCTGTCAGGCAGTGGAAGATGTTGATGCTCCTGTCAGGAAAGGAATAACTTCTCATCTCCTTCAGGTTGCTGATGGCTCTCTGGATGGTTTCTGGTCTGTTGTCTGTGCGACCCAGCAGGCCTCCTAACAGTCTCTGGTTGGACTCCAGAGAGAGGCCGTGGAGAAAGCGGACAAACAGGTCCAGATGGCCATTTTTACTATAGAGGGATTTCTCCATGGCTCTCTTCAGGAAGTCATCCAGTGATGGGTAATCCTGATCAGTGATGTTGCTATTGTCTCTCTGCAGGAAGTCCTTCAGTACCTCTGTGTCTCTGTTGGTGTAACAGTGCAACATGTAGACTGCAGCCAGAAACTCCTGAATGCTCAGATGAACAAAGCAGTAGACTGTTTTCTTGAAGATCACTCTCTCTCTTTTGAAGATCTGTGTACAAACTCCTGAGTGCACCAAGGCCTCGGTGACATCAAGACCACAGCGCTGCAGGTCTTCTTGGTAGAACATGATGTGTCCTTTCTCCAGATGTTCAAACGCCAGCCTCCCCAGCTTCAGAAGAACCTCCCTGTCAGCCTCCGTCAGCTGCTGTGGACTCGTCTCATGTCCCTCTTCATACTTCTGCTTCTTCCTCTTGGTCTGGACCAGCAGGAAGTGTGAGTACATGTCAGTGAGGGTCTGGGGCAGCTCTCCTCTCTGGTCTGTAGTCAACATGTGGTCCAGAACTGCAGCAGTGATCCAGCAGAAGACTGGGATCAGACACATGATGTGGAGGCTCCTGGAGCTCTTGATGTGAGAGATGATTCTGCTGGACAGGTCTTCATCACTCCATCTCCTCCTGAAGTACTCCTCCTTCTGGGCGTCAGTGAAGCCTCGTACTTCTGTTACCCTGTCCACACACTCAGCAGGGATCTGATTGGCCGCTGCAGGTCTGGAAGTTATCCAGACGAGAGCCGAGGGAAGCAGCTTCCCCCTGATGAGGTTTGTCAGCAGCACGTTGACTGAGGACTGCTGTGAGACATCAGACACAACCTCATTGTTTCTGAAGTCCAGAGAAAGTCTGCTTTCATCCAGGCCGTCAAAGATGAGCAGCACTTTGCAGACAGCCAGCTGCTCTGCTGTGACCTTCTGTAAGGTTGGATGGAAAACATGGAGCAGCCTGAGAAGACTGTACTGCTCACCTTTGATCAGGTTCAGCTCCCTGAAGGAGAGCGGGATCACCAGACTGACATCTTGGTTTTCCAAACCCTCGGCCCAGTCCAGAGTGAACTTCTGCACTGAGAAGGTTTTTCCAACTCCAGCGACTCCGTTGGTCAGGACCGCTCTGATGAGAGTCTGTTGGTCAGGTAAGGCTTTAAAGATGTCCTGGCACTTGATTGGAGTGTCATGGAGGGGCTTCTTCTTGGAAGCTGTCTCCAGCTGCCTCACCTCATGTTGGGTATTAACCTCTTCACTCTGGCCTTGTGTGATGTAGAGCTCAGTGAAGATCCTGTTGAGGAGGGTTTCACTTTGATCAGTTCCTTCAGTCACACGTTCACATCTCCTCCTCAGACTGAGCCTATGTTCATCTAAAACCTCCTGCAGACCACTATCTGCTGGAAGAGCAGGAAACATGAGAGAATGAGGGAAATGCTCTGAGAATCTAATTATAACAATAAAACAACAACAGACTGAGTTGAAATGTTTTATAAACAGCTTACTGTCTATGCTCTACAACAGTATACCTGTTCAAACACAAATGAACCAGGAAGAGGAATAAGACGCTGCGTGTGTTCGGCCTCTTACCTCGTACAGAGCTGGTCTGACTGGCTGTCTGCAGTCCAGCTCTGGTTCTGGATCTTTCTCCACACTGTGGACAGGAGGGGTCTCCTGATGGAGGTCTCTGCTCCCAGTATGAGGTGATGCACTGTCTGCAGAACCAGTGTCCACAGCTGGTAGAGACTGGATCCTTCAGGACGTCCTGACACAGAGCACAGCTGGACAGATGCTCCTCCACAGGAACACCACTCTTCCTCTTCCCTCTGTGGAGATGAACACATCCTTTACAGCACGTCACATTAGTGGAGCTGATTCTCACCAATGGGCAGAGCGTCACAAACGTCACTCTCAAGATGAAATGTGTCACGCTGCACGAATACGCAGGTGACATGAATTTCACCTCTTCACTTTCTTGGTGTCTCCAGGCACGGATCTGGGTCTTTGCATTGACTCTACATGTAATCACACAAAGCTCTGTTATATCTGCTAATGCTAAACACAACCAGCTCACCAGGTCATCACTATCATTAATAAACATCTTTAAAATACATATCATAAACATGCACAAGTAGTAAATAATGTTTTGACGATATATTTAGTTTTTAGTGAGTATTTATCAATATCTTTGCCATTTAAAACCTTTTGATGCCACTGATACAATGATGCTATAAATGCATATTGAAATATCCTCAAATAATGTTAGCTTGCTGAACTCTGCTGCCTTTGTTCTGTACTATACTGCACACATGATATTATTAAAGAACAGTTTAATATATTAGATTATATAAAAACTGGATCCTCTTCAGGTCAGGTTACAGCAGAAACTCTTACTTTGTGTCTGAGGGTCCAGGTTCATTACTGAAGTCTAGAGGTTGATCTTTAGACCGGTCACTCTTCAGAGACAGACAGCTGGGGACTGGAGACTCTGTTCTCTGTCTGTGGAAACAACACATGTTTTAAACATCATTATTACATGGCTTGGTTGAATACTCGATTCTGATTGGTCAATTCAGAACACGTGACACGTTGTTAATCCAGAACAGACAGACCGCTGTCAAGGACTTATTGACCGTTGTTAAGGACGCTCACATCTGCACAAAGAGGTCCGTTCGATTTAACTGTGAAAAGCAAACTGCATGCAGTTTGCTTTTCTAACTGACAAGACAAGAGCGACAAGGAAACAGCGGAGAAGTAACGGGGCAGAAACCCTCCTTTTTACGCAGCGATCCAGACATAGACATCAAACGGCGACACATATTCAGTGTGCAGTTCCTTTGGCATTAGGGCAGGGATATCTAGATACTTTCCAATGTTTGACATAATGAATTGTGCTACTTTTAAAGCAAGCAACGATGTTTTCAAATCTGTAATCAAAAAGCTCCGCCTTCCTGCCGTTGCTATGTTTTTCAAACGGTAACAACGGACTATTTTCCTTAGCGGATGTGTTGTGGAGAGATCCAGCATAACACAACAGGAAAGAATGAAACAGAGAGGAATCAATAAAACACAAACACAGAAGATACCTCTTCTACAGAATCAGAAAGAGGGGGAAATACTTTCACAGACAAATACAGACACACCCCGGCTGGAGCTCTCAGCCTTTTCAGGAGAAGGGGGCTTCTTTCAAACTGCAGCTTCTTTGACCAATAAGAAATTAAAACAACAAACTATGGTATACCAAAAACATTTAGCGCTTTATCACAGGCTCTACATTATATTACGGCCTGACAAAACATGGAAACCTCCACTTTTGGATGTAGTGAATTCACAGAGTCGCCAGGCAAGTTTTATCTTTTTAACTCCCTGAACTCAGATCGGGCTTATTAATCTTTTAATTACCGAACGGACCGGATGTGCACTTGGCTCGCAAAGCAAATCATATCCCCTCAGCCAAATGAATCTCTGAACCTTAAGACAATCATTAGGATCTTCTCAGGCAGAATTCACGACTACGAGGTCAGATACAGTGATTCCTCCAGCATAACATGTCCTTACGGCTAGCAAAGATCATATCCCCTCAGTCAAACCTTTAGCTTCTCAGGCAGACTACGAGGTCAGATACAGTGATCTCTCCAGTATAAAAATGTATCAACATAAAACAAGACCTTTACAAATAAAACAATGACAACCAGCAGACAGAACAATCAACAAACATATCTCAGCCATAGCTGTGCCTTAACTCCACTCCTCTGCTTTTTTTCTTAAATTTGGAAAAATAACCAATACAACTTCAAAAGTCAATTTCATTCCAAATACATTCTGCTTACTGTGAGTCGGCATTTCTTCTGTGGAAGTCTCAAGTCTGGTTTCTCAATTCCTTGAGATTTTACCACAGCTTTCTATGTAGCTGCCTGATCAGGGTGAGTTGAGACCCCCAGAGAAGGAACACAGCAACCTCCAGCATTGGCATCTCGGTAGAACCTCCAAAATGTTGTGTTAAGATCCAGCATAACACAACAGGAAAGAATGAAACAGAGAGGAATCAATAAAACACAAACACAGATATAGCTGATAAGTAATTATTATTTAGTTGTTGCAACAAACAAACAACAATGGGAAGTACATCACCTGCTGCCACAGCAGCCAATCGTGGAAATGCCCCCAAGAACAGAAGAAACACAGGGCTATATATACTTTTCTAAATGACACACGAACATGTTCCCCAAACATGTTTAACGCACACACATTTTATCATGCAGCCAACCACACAAATGTCACATGTTTTTCTCTCTGAAAGCTATACCTGTATATGTTTAAACTTCATCATCTCATGACATCCTTAGGATTAGTTAACTAACAAAGGTTAACTGTTTTTATAACCTGAGGCCTTCTCTGAACTTCCTATACCCTCGGTGTCAGCTCACTTAAAATGAATACATCTATTGATAATTCAGAACGACCATTGTCTCTCTAACTGTGTGTGACCCAACTCAGTAACACACATCATATGGAATACCATGTGATCATTAATGAATATCAGAAATACGCTGTATTAAACATTCTGCCATAACAGATGCATGTCAATTTAAATCAATACATACAACTATTTTTTAAATCAATAAAATCATTTTCTAAATCCATAAAAGCATTTCAATTAATAGTGGGAGTCATATCATTACTTTGTTGAGAATGTAGATCTAGATCCCTCCGCTTCGCGTCGGGCTCCTGATCAGCCTGTCGGTGTTCTTTTCCCCATAATGACCGCGTCGCTGCACATTATCCCTTACTTAGTTCATTCAGAGAGCACATTTTGACTTCTGTCTGTATGTAGATTATTTGCTATCGCTGATGACGCCAGGGATCAAGAGTTTAAACGTTGTTACTGTACTGTTACTAAGTTTCTTTACTGCGATCATTAAAGAACAGGTTAGACTATCAGATAACATAAAAACTGGATCCTCTTCAGGTCAGGTTACAGCAGAAACTCTTACTTTGTGTCTGATGGTCCAGGTTCATTACTGAAGACTGGAGGTTGATGTTTAGACCGGTCACTCTTCAGAGACAGACAGCTGGAGACTGGAGATGTGTCCTCTTCCTCATCTTTAAAACCACTCATCTTCTCCAGTCTGAGAGAACACACACACACACACACACACACACACACACACACACACACACACACACACACACACACACACACACACACACACACACACACACACACACACACACACACACACACACACACACACACACACACACACACACACACCACACACACACACACACACACACACACACACACACACACACACACACACACACACACACACACACACACACACACACACACACACACACACACACTTTAGTCTGGCTTTTATCTAGTGTGTGTTAACTTATTAAACTTGCACTGTATCTTTTCTTTCCAGAGGAGCCCCTAAGGACAAACGTTGACATTATTACTAATACATTATACTTGTATACATACACATAATGACTGTTTGATGGTTATGATTAGAAAAGAACCCAAAGCAGTGTTTACCTTGATGAAGCTGGCGTTGATGTAATCAGAGTCAGTGTCTGCAGTGAGGAGAGACAACACCACACACACACACACACACACACACACACACACACACACACACACACACACACACACACACACACACACACACACACACACACACCTTGTTATTACTGAAATTAAGAGCTTCATATATTTTATATAAATATTTTAATGAGGCCAATTGAGCAGATAGTATTACACTGGAAAACTAGAACAAAACCTTTTTAGTGAAACAATAATGAAGATTGTTTAGAAAATTCCGCAGTTTTATTTAAAAAGCATGAGTAGGACACGCCTTTTTTGTGCTGATTTTATATGAATATTTTAATGACATTTTAGCTGAAGCCACTCTCACAAAATCACAAGTGTAAAAATGTAAAAACACTTGTTTACTCCTGTTAGCCACAGATCAACACACACACATGCTGTGTATCATCATAATATTTAATGTAATGTAATTTAATGTAATGTCGGTCTGTTACCTGCTGGTATGTTAGGGTCAGATCTCTGATCACCACGTGTTCATTATGAGGTGTCTCCCCCTGCTGGAAACACACAGGAACAACACGTGGTAAATACACACAATATGTTCTCAGTTAATGAACATTTCTCTAAAGCTTCACTTCATTAAATGCTTTAATATTACCAGTGGTAACTAAGTATATTTCCTCAAGTACTGTACGTTGTTTTTGTTTAATCCAATACATCTCAGAGGGAAACATTGCACTTATTACTGACTACATTTATCGAACACATGGTTTCATCTAAATAACAAATGATCATTATTTCATTACAAATACAATGTTGGAGACATGTCTAGAAAGGGAGAACAGATTTATGTTTTAGAAAACATTTGCTTCTTTCCACCTGAGATTTACCTGGTGACCTTTGGAGGGGGCCGACCCTTAGGTTGAGAACCTCTGGACTAAACTATCTAACTTTATATTAAGGAGCAAAAAAGCTGCTCTAAGATTAAAGCGTTTGTATTAATAATGTCAGTAATTATGACACACACACACACACACACACACACACACACACACACACACACACACACACACACACACACACACACACACACACACACACACACACACACACACACACACACACACACACACACACACACACACACACACACACACACACACACACACACACACACACACACACACACACACACACACACACACACACACACACACACACACACACACACACACACACACACACACACCAGGGGTGTCAAACTCAATTTCATCGCGGGCCACATTAGAATGATGGTTGCACTCAAAGGGTGGTAACTTAAAGACTATATAAATATACATAGATAAATATATATAATATATATAAAATAATGTATTATTTTACAATATTTCCTCTGCATTAGATTATTATCAGATAGGGTAATAACTTCATAATTAACTACGTCTGAAAGCAGAAGTCCAGGGCACATAATTACAAGTAATTGCAAGTCTCTTCAGTGCGCATCTCACAAAATGAGATGCATTGTGGGACATGTAGTTTAAGGGCAACGTGATCCTGTAAAGCAGCACGTAACTTTATAATAAACGTATTATATTATTTGCAAGCTCTTGTGGGCCACATAAAATGAAGTGGCGGGCTGTGAGTTTGACACCCCTGATCTAAACCATCATAATAATAAACTTGGTTAAAATACATCAAATCAGTCAGACTTCAGACAGGCCGCTCTCCATTTTGACTGCGCTGGGCTGTCACATGTTATGTTGCTTTGATGAATCAGAAAACAGGAAATAAAACAAGTTTACAACACTTGTAGAAGTCTCATTGGACTCTAGGACGCTGATGTTCTGACATCCAGTAAAACAGAGTAAATCATGTGTTAGAAAGCAGAGCCTGGTGTTAACACTCACCCTGTTGTCCTCCTGCTCCGTCGAGCTGTAAAATGGCGTTTGGCACTCTGACAAGTCTGACTTCATACTTTCACTTTCAACTTCCCTCCCTTCCTGTCTGCAGCCCCCCCCCCCCCTTCTCTGTTTCATAACCAGCCTTATCAGCTGAACAAGTTCACATATGTTCAGTGAGATACAAATAAAGCTAAAAACAAGCTCAACAAAGTTATTGAAATAAATATATTAAAACAGTGTGAAAATAAACCAGTACAAGTAAACATGCTGTCTTCAAAACCTCACTTAAGTTAAAGTGTGTAGGTATTTAAGTACTCTAGTGTTAACATCACATTAAATTGTTCCCTATTATATATATATATATATATATATTTGTTTCTGCATTAATAACCCTGCTGCATGTATTGCATATATTACTGTATTTTTCCCAGAATATGAATGGCGTTTTTTGTTACTGGCACCAGGGAGCCATTGCATGTTCAAATTCAGACTGTTTGCAGTCAGTATAGAAACCTTGTCCGATCTAGACAGATTAACGTATAGATAAAAAGATACATTATATTTAAATGTTTTTGAGTTGCAGTACTTGAGTAAATGTACTTGTAATCACCTTGACCACTAGAGGTCGGTGTTACATCAGTTTCTGCATTTAATCACAAACATCCATATGTGCCTTTTCTGTCCTGAAGAGGAATACACAGGAGCGAGAAGTACAGATTGAGTAAAAGTAGAAGTACTCAGATCTTGTACTTGAGTAAAAGTAGAAGTACTCAGATCTTGTACTTGAGTAAAAGTAGAAGTACCAGAGTGTAGGAATACTCTGTTACAGTAAAAGTCCTGCATTCAAAATGTTCCTCAAGTAAAAGTAGAAAAGTATTATCATCAAAATATAGTGAAAGTAGCGACAGTAAAAGTAGTCATTGTGCAGATTGGTCCATTTCAGAATAATATATATGATATGTTTTATAATGATTGATCATGAAAGTGTTCTCAAAGCTGGTAAAGGAGCAGCTAGTTTGAATGACTTTGTATACTGCAGGGTAGCTTGTGGATTTACTCCAGGTGGAACTAAAGTCTGATTTAACACTTGATTAGATTTCACATCATTCATCCACATCTGTAAAGTAACTAAAGGTATTAAATATATTAATTGATTTCTAATCATTTCAACCCACCATTGAGCGCTGTTAAAAGCAACAAATGAAACATCAGATACAAAGAGAACTAGGGATGTCCCGATCACCTTTTTTTGCTCCCGATCCGATTCCGATCATTTGATTTTGACAATCTGCCGATACCGATTTTTCCCGATTCGATCTTTATGCATTAAGAGAAAAAAAAGGTAACAGATAACGGCTGGTCATCCAACGCGATGAATTCAGCTATCTTGGCTGTTATTTTTTTGGCCTTTTCACTGTTCTGGGGCAGTTTCTCTTTCCTTTTAAAAGTCTCTGAAAGTGTCGGTTGTTTCAGTGCCGTTACCTGAGTGGCCGCTGTGTACTCGTCGTGTTGTTGTTGGTGTTTGTATTAGATTGGTCGTGTTGAACGTAGCTCTGTTCTTTTCACCACGCGGAATCTCCGCCTTGCAAACATTGCATCTGGCTGTTACACTGCCTTCGCTTTCAATTTTATAATACTTCCAAACTCCTGACATTTTCTCTGTCCCGACTCCTGAGGCACCAGCTGAACGTAGCCTCTTGTTAGCTTACTGCTACTATTAGACACTGCGCCCACTCTGTTGCCAGATTTGAGAGAAATAAGCAACCAGGTCTATGAAAACAAGCCCAAAAGAAGCAACACATACATGATGTTGTGTAATTTTAAACCAAAACTAAGGCCTCAGGATGACTTTAAGACGTGAACATGGTCATTTTTGTTTTGTAACATTAAATTAAAAAAATAAAAATTATAAAAAAATAAATAAAAAAAAATCCCGTTCACCGATTTTTTTCTCCCGATTCCGATCTTTTGAAGATCACGTGATCGGATCGGGACATCTCTAAAGAGAACCATTGATGTCTGAGCTGGACTGATCCATTTTTTGAAGGCTTAATATTTCTCAAATATACTGAATACAAACAAAACAAAAAAAGGCTTAATTTAATCAAATGTTTGGATGTCTAAATGTCCTCAAATTCTGGAATGATCCAAATAAAAAGTGAGTCAAGCTCCAGCAAGAGGACAATATTGAAATGTTATCAGATTCACCAGCTAGCTAGCAGTTAGCATTAATTAGCATTGCTAGTGTAACCCTTTATTGGCGCATTTCCACCATGGCGCAGAGCGCGGTTTAAGCGTGCCGTGTCGTGCCGTGTCGTGCCGTGTCGTGCCGTGCCCGTTTTTGGTTGCGCTTCCACTAGGCCTAGTCCCGGCCCGGGGCCACTTTTTCACCTCTTTTCTGGCCCGACAAAATTGTGGTTCTATCGGGGCCAACAAACAGGGCTGAGTCGGGCTGAGTATGCTAAACTAGAGAGAGCATCGCTGGCAAGGGGGCTACAACTACAACAAGATGGACATATTTGACCGTGAATTAATTGTAATACACGTTTCAAAATTATGCCGAAGTAACAACATACTGAGGCGCCGTTTACACGAGGAGAAAACGGCTTGTATCTGCATAGTTTTGCGTGCGTATAGCCCTATTATTTACACGAGGCCGATAGAAACTGACCCCACAAACGATAACGGGTCCCAAGGTGGATAGATTTGCAAACAAAACGCTCTGGGGGTCAACCGAGTCCGTGTAATCACCTCTATACGAATATTTCCTGAAAAAATAGCGATAGCCCCGCCTCTCCCCACCTCTCCTGCTCACTGCTGCTGTAGCAACTATCAAAAATAGCTGTGTTAATTAAACGCACAAGGGGTTCTTGAATGAAATAATATTATAAAAGGCAAACCAGAATTGTTAACGCCCAATATACTCCTTAAACAAAATAAACAGAGTCAGATTTCATGCATTGATCCATTATATTGACAAAGGAGGATCTCACCCGGTGTTTGTAGAGAATATCTCTCTTTCTGAGCCGTCCTCTCCACAGAGACGTGCTTCTTGGTCGGTCGATGCAATATCCACAGATTCGGTTTCTTTCAGTTAACTTCCCCGTTGCATTTATCCATATGCTGAGGAAATGACTATATCCCGCTGAATACCAGCAATCGCCACACACACTTCCTCCTGTCAGTAGCTACTGCTAGTGCTACTGCTACTGACCATGCTACAGATATTAGTGCAAAATATACAGCTCCTCTACCACAACCATCAGCAACAAGTGGACATGGAGAATTACATGAACTACATGTTGCTAAATACACCGCGGGCGTAAACAGAAGGGTAGCCATGGCAACATTGCGGCGGGGCTGCTGGGCTGCCCTTCTTCGCTGCTTTTGGTGTATTTTGGCGGAAGTTACAGCGCCACCTACAGTCCCGGCATATGTACTACAGCGTTTCCAGCGGCCTCGTTTGAACAGACACGTTAAATGAAACGAATGCATGTGAACGGAAGACTTTTTTGAATACGCATACTGTGCATAAACGCAAACGTTCCCGTGTGAGCGGGGCCTGATACCGGTTAGTAAAAACCATGAATTAATGCTTTGTCAAGTCTGCAGACAGACGGCAGGCGAAAAACCTTTTAAAATGTGTGTTGTCTAAATGGAGATTGGCTAAGCTAACGCAGTATATGCTCCGACCGTCCACACTCACAACAACGGCCTATACAGACATAAATAAAGCAGCGACTGTATTCGCCATGACACAGGCAGTCTGTGGTGTGTACTTGTTTAACTTTTGTCTAGTTTCTGAACAGATATGAGGAGCTGTGAGCTCTGAGTGCTAACAGCTAACGGCTGTGTTGTTTTTCTGGGGTTCTCATTGGAGATGACGTCACGGCTCCGCCTACACTGCCTTACTATAGTTACTACCTCAGTTCCTAAACTGTAATGGAAGCGCAGTATGAAGTGAGCCGGCCCTGTTAAGGCCCAACGCGGCCAAGCAGTACCGAGCGTGGCCGAGGCCGACCGTGTGGTGGAAATGCGCCATATGTAGCCTTTCCCTGCTGGTAGGCGATCTGTAATGCTAACGATGGCACAGTACTTGAGTAAATGTACTTTACTTCCCACCTCTGCTATAATATATATTGATATATATACACTACTATATTATAACACAACCAAGCCTCAACTATGTCTTATACCCCACAATATATCATAATTTACAATATTTACGTAAACTTGTTTAACCTCTAAATGCTCTTCCATAATTTGGATTTTTATTCTATATTTATCTTATTCTATTTTACTTCACCTGCGTTTTTCTCCGTCCGGTTGCAATAACTGGATTTCCTCCTCGTGGATCTAATGAAGGTGCATCTTGATGTTATCCAACGTGAAGGTTACAAATAAATAAATACACAACAATAAGAAATGATTAATAAAAACAGGGTTTATTTAATTCACCTGACAGATAATTACAAAACAAAACCATCAAACTTCTGTTTTCCCTTCTGTCTGAACTTTAAATGTGCTTTGCAGAATGAAATGACTGCTAACAGATATCTTATTATTATAACTTATTTTCTCTTAGCTTACAATATAACATGTTGTTCTTTCTTATTGAACAAAACAGAAACACACATTTTAAAAGGTCCCCTATTATGCAAAATCCACTTCTTCACGTCTCTTCTACATCAACATGTGTCCCCTCTTCTTCATGTCTCTTCTACATCAACATGTGTCCCCTCTGTGTAAAGAGATTCTAACAATGTTTTGTCTTGTGTAACCATTAGCCAATCACCAACCAAGGTAACCCCCCCCCCCCCCCTTATCACCTGAATGTCCTCCTAGAGCACCATTGTGTTCTTTTTAACCAAATCTCTCTCAGAGGGGCGTGGGGAGGGGCTCCTTATTTTCATCTAAAGTAACAGACACAGAATCAGCACTTTGGAAACAGGGCTGAAACAGAGGGGATTATGGGTAATGCTGCAATGATCTGTTTGGTGTTTCAGCCAATCAGAGAGAGGTTCTGTATATATCTGAGACCTATAATATATTGTTGGAAAGAGCATAATAGGGGACCTTTAAAGCGTAATCTTTGCAATATCAATTATTTTGTATTTCACTGTATGTCCACTGTAATATAGAGAGACTTGTTTAAAATGATTCA